AAAGTGGATATGCCTCCTTTCCTGCGAACTAGCTCAAAAACTACCGCCAATATTAAGAAAATAGAATATTCAGGTGACTATGAAGGAAAATACAACACTTCACAAGTCTACCCACGCAACATGAGGGAGTAGACAAATTGGATTGCTCGGGGGTTTACTATGGACTTCGGACAAGGTGCGTTTCTCTAGGTCTTCTTGTCAATATGACCAAGTTGCGAAAACAAGGTCCAACATCTACTATACAAAGAAAAAATCTGCCTCCTGACATACGGACATCGACATAATATTTTTGTGGGGTTCAGTGAGACTATTTTCAAAATTAAATTAAGCTGCATAATGCAAAATTGCAAGTTGCGCGTATAGGCCAGTAAAAGGCACTTCCGTAAAGAAGCAATCCGACCTACTCTGAATTAGACTCAACCAAATTCAGAGCGTCGGTAATTTTGGACCATGGCTCTGAGGAATCAAGCCCAGGAGCATCGAGCTCGAGGCTGTCATGAAAGGAGAAAAGTCCGGTCTCAATTTCCTCTCGCAGGCGTTGATAAGGCCTGTCTGGAGCGCTGGCATAACTTGGTGTAGTCGAAACAAAGGGTACGCCAGCACAAGCATATGAATCGTCTTCGTCTCCCCAGGAGAGCCCTGATAAGAGTTGTTAATAGAAAAAAGAAGAGAATATAAAAAGAGTTATGAAAAGTAAAAAGGGATAGAATGAACCCAAGAGAATAACAGCTGAAAGCAGTGAATATAATCTAAGAATAGAAGAAATTAGCATTAAATATTATGAATGAATAGGATCTTAGTCACTTTAGCTCGTTAAAAGTGACTTGAGGATCGATATTAGTTTTCCCACAATTAGATGATTAGGCCTCATGATACGACGGAATTTCACTTAAATTTGCCAATCTTATCCAGAGCAGACAGCAAATTCGACCTCGCCTAGGTCTCATCAATGGAATTCGTGAATATTGTAGCAACAGTACCATTCTACTACACAGTCACGGATACCAATGGGTAATAGGTCAGAAATTAGATTTAAGACAAGACAGGCCTCTATAAAATCACATTTATACAGAGGTTGTCGATTAAGCAAACATGTATTTTGTATTGTAATTAAAGAGTAGATAGTAGTAGGATTCGAAACTACAAATATTTTTTAAATAAAACCCGCTGGCACCTGCGGCTATATGGTGTAGTGGTAATGTCGCCACGATACTCAAGACCGGGTATCGAATTCCGTTAGGGGTGCTGATGAGACGAGGTGTAGAAGGCAGTCAACCATGGACGAGATAACCTTTTGTGAGAAGAAGCCCTCGGCTCACCACCCTGCAACTCCGATACATTCGTGCAACCGAATGAGAGAAGTCTTGATTAACCTGAAGCCTGGTTTGAGCTCGAAATTGTCAACTGACTCGTGAATATTGCGTACACATAATGAGCGCATATCCAATAAGTTAAAACAAGCCTCAGTATCATAAGATCATGCACTAGTTAATTTGCATAAGGAAGCGGCTTCAGCTAGATTGCTTCTTTTTCATGCATCAACTTCACTTGTCTGCTTTCGTGTATAACAGGCATGAAGTAGCCAATCGAATATTGAGATGCCTCATTAAAACCTCAAAGTTAGAAACAAAAAATAAGTAGGACTTTAGCCTGCCATCTTTCTTGGTTAAGTGTTTTTGGTGATTGTTCGTAAATTATATCTCCTGTCTCTGATGGTGCCTGTCACATGATAGACAAGCTTAGAACGGATTTATCCGGGCTGCAGGACAGCAAGCCGAGGGCTTATTCGCACGATCAAATAGCCACCAGTCAAAGGCAATCCCGCTTCGGTTCCAGTGAGACCAATTTACGAGCCCCTTCCACCCGCCTTTATAAACGAAATGAAAGATATGCCAGCATCAATTTATTAAGGCAGTGAGTCCCAAACTGCGGCCTCCTTACAGGGGCGCCGCAAAATATTGTAAAAGCTTCAATTTGAGAAAATGTGTAGTGATTTGCAGGCTCATCCATCATATTAATTATTAAATATTAATTTAATGTTAATAAAGTAAAAAAATAATAAAGAAGATACACAAGTTTTATTTTTTTAATCTCTTACTTAAGGCGCCATTAAAAAATTTTAATTAAAAAAGGGCGCCGCGACTGGGAAAGTTTGGGAACCAGTGTATTAAGGGATTATTCGAAAATCAGAGTTTATCCATATCTTATAATTTTTATTTTTACCTTGAATGTGGGTGATTCAGAATTAATCATTATCGGTAGTAAAATATGCATATACTCCAACAACTCGCTTAAAATGAAACATAGATCATATTTGAGTATTCTATAAGGCCTGCGAAAGCTAAATTTAACTGAGAAATTAATATATATATAAATATAATTATTAATGGTAATTTTAATTTTAGATATTTACCTAATTAGCAAGTTGCAAAAACGCTTCTCGGTATGCACTAGCCATTGGTTAAAGCTTTAAGAATTTTTTAAAATTATCCAAATAGAGCTATAAGGAAAGAAGTCCAACTGAAACTAATAAATTTTCAAAAAATCTCTTCTTTAAAAGTGTAAGGCCCCAAAAAACGCTTCTAAATAAGACAATTTATTTATACCTACCGGGAATAGTAGACCCAGGCGCCAAATGAACGAGATCAACAAGACTATCTGTCAACTGTTCAAGAGCAGTGTGGACCTCCTGCGCCATCGATCTACGTCGCGAAGCCATTTGGTTAGAATCAAGGACTAGTGGGTGAAGACAATCTTTCGAAAAAATATACAAAATCAACGTGATCCTCAGACTCAAAAATCGATGAACTTCATCAAGTTACAATGCTAAAAAAAATCAAGAGCACAAAGATTTAAAACGCTGGCCCTTTGACAATGTTATCTAGAGGACAGCATCATGCTGGGTTGAGAATCCAGCGTTACTAAATAAATAACCATATAGAGTTCTGATAATGAAGGCTATCATAAAAAGAATGGGAAAAACATACACTATGACAAAAATTAATAGGTTTATATCCTCTACAGAGTTAAGAGATTTAAGAAGATTTACTAAAGTGATGCTAGCACTAAAATATAGGCTTGAATAATGATCAATGGACTGAAATTAAATGAATAGCGGCATCGGTATTATCAAGGTTAGGTTAAAATCAACTAACCCGAAAAGAGGATTTAAAATTGCATTCTAATTTAATCTTATTTTGGTTGTCCGTAGGCTAAATAAATTACATCCTAGTATGGCCAAAACCAAAAAAATCAGGAAATAACAACCAAAATATACATGT